CATTCATCTCGCTGATATTCACTGTGAAACTTGGCTGCGGAAAGGTAATCGATACCAGCCTTTACTGGATGTCGTTAGGAACGTCTCAGGAAATAGATGCAGGATAAAGATGATTGCTTTGAATCGTGTGCCTGAGTTGGGATTTATTTGGGCAAGTTTGAAAGCTGCATTTACATCTACGTTAAAGATTCTTCATTAACTTTAACTTGTAATTGATCTTCTGATGTTTTGAACTATTCGTGTCAATTACAAGAATGTTGAATCAACTGGTAGTCGGGATAGAAGAGGATTTGAGAAAGACAATTTCTTAATTCAACCCATTCACTACTATTCATAGAACTAGAATTGTAGTTAACGGTAGAACCACCGCACAAGTCGAATTAACGGATTTCAGATTACTTATTTCGCAATTGTTGGTATGTCGATAGCGTTAGATATCCGAAATGATTCTAAAAACAAGTAGTTTCACCTCAATACTTCATTCGAGATATGAAGAAACTAAAGCAAATCTGTTGCTACAATTTTTATAAGGATCACACACTGATCATATTAAACATTCGCTAGTCGCAATGTTAAGCCACAATAAAACTATGTATCTAAAAAATACAATAGAAAAGAAAGAAAATAAAAAAAGAGAACAACACCCGTATACCAAAAGTTAGTCAATCGCTTCGTCAAGTGTGAATCAGGCTTCAGCCGTCTAACTAGAAAGACAGTTTCGGCATGCGGACGATCATCCAGTATCGGTGATCTCGCCGATCGAGAGAAATCTAGGTAGCAAATGATACTCATTTCTCGTGTAGAGAAGTTCGAAAAGATAACGAGATGGAAGGCGAGGAGCAGATCCCGTTGGGCTCGAGTGGCTCGGCTCTAATTGGAGGGTCTGTGGTCCCTGGACGCACGAGGAATTCGTGCAAGCTGCAGATTCTCGCATTCCAGCGATGCAAGCGAGCGAGCGAGTGAACGAGCGAGCGATCGCTCGGTCGGTCCGGCTTCTCTCCTTCTCTTTCTGCATTTATAGAGCTGCTCGCGCCAAGTTTGAACTCGCGAGAGCCGTTCCTCCGCGCCGCTCCGTTCGCGAAACGGAAGATGCTCGACCGGTTTCTTTTTTGTCGCGCGGGCTCTTAGAACACGGCCATCGCCGCGCGTCTTGTCTCTTCTGCCCTCTCGCGCGAGGATTCCGAAGAGCGCGGCACGGGGTTCCTCTCTTGTTGCACCGTGCAACCCGCACGCGCACTGCAAAAATAAACGATCGCTCGTCGAACCGTTCTGTCGGTAGGAAAGTAATTTCGGTTTTCGAACGAGCCGCGACGAGATTGCCGGTTTTTCACATTATTCATTGATGAACGAGAAGATCGTGAGGGAAAAACGGATATCTTGAAGATTTACTCTTGCAATTTTTACAGAAACTTATATGTATATATATATAAATTATAAGGATAAGAAGTGTATAATCTGTAAGAGGATTTTAGGGTCACTAAAACATTTAATAGAAGAATGTATAGAAGTGAAGAAAGTAGAATTTAGAAGGGCACCTTTTCAATCAACACACACCGATTTTAATGAAAGTTATGTGAAGCAGAGTTCTTAAGAACATATTTGACACGTATTGTTTCTTATCGGCCAACATTCACTTTGAAGGAGTGAAAACACCTCTCAAAGTTCAGAGTAGAAGATATACTTTTTACAATACCTCTGAAACTACAGGGATCTAGGAAAACAATTCTTTTATATTGTTCGCCTCGAAAAGAACAATTTACAATTCTTTTAGACAACCCGCATATATGTAAAATTGGTATAAATTATACGAATTATAGTGTTGATGTAAATTATACATGTGAACGCCACTGTATATATGTAAAACTAATATAAATTATATTAGTAAAACACTCAGTAGTTTCAGTGTCTACTTATTACTAATAAGATGTATCTCTGTCACGACTAAAATGAATGACCTACAAAATACACGAAGAATTGAAGCATTGCGTGCAACAGAACGATTTAGCATTTGAAGAACCGCGAACACATTAAGTGCACGTGCAACAGCCAAACAAATACAAAATTTCGAGTCACGAGAGCGCGCATCGATGTTCCTCGCGCTCTAGGGCCAACGATATCGCGAGGAGACTTTCGTTTTCAGCGTTTCCTCGCCGTCATCAGAATCCCGGTCCCGTTCCGTCGCTCGACCGTGACGGACAATGCTAGCACGGCGGATCGCGATTTTTCCGCGTCGACTCGTCTTCTTCCGCGGCGACCATGGTTTCCCACGCGCGCCGCTCAACATTTGCACAGTCAACATTCTTGCGCTAACTAATCAACGCCGCGTGAGTTTCCTTTGAGCCGCCGCTCGACCGTCGCTCTTTTGATTTTTCTTTGTCAGCTCGGCTTACGCCGAGGATACTGACGGAATAATTCGCCGTGTTCCTCGTTTGATGTCCCACTTTTATTACTAGACAACTTCTCAGCCGAGTTACTTGGTGCTATCGCCTTGATCTATATTTATGTTGTACGCAGAGCAAATGGTTTAACTCTGATCTGGCAAATGGTCCATTTGAATCCATGTTTTCTCAATCATATAATATAGGATGATAACGAGTAAGGTGGTCGAATTTTCCTACAGCATTCTATCTTTACCAAGGACGAAGGGAAATTCAGTGATATATCTTAATTGTTTCAAAACTTTAAACAATTTGAATTTTCTGTAATTAGGTTCTTCAATCGAAAGCTACTTTCCCATTCAAGATGGAACAACTCAAATTGACCTCACTGTTTCTTCTCATCGGGCTATCGAAAGTTGCATCTGTTAAATTTCTTCTAGGAGTACCTACTTTCCACGTTATTCAGCAACGCCGCTTACGCAAAATTCCTCGAGAGAAACTGATCGAAAATGCATTCCGATTGAATAAGAAAGAGAAAATGTTACGGACGACGGCAAGGACATTTATTGGCAATGCGAGGCCCGCGGCAATGCGTGTCTCCAAAATAGCCGATTCGTATTCGCTGGTCCGTTAACCGGCACGTTCTGATTCGCTCGCCACCCAGACGGCGACCGTTCGTCAGCGACGAAATCCTGGATACGATTTGAAACCGCGTCCGTGTTGCGTGACAATGAGTCGGCCTTTACAAGTATGCATCCGCCATTTACATCACGTTCGTCATTGTCAGGGATATCGGAGCACGCGGCGCGGCGCGCATGTAAATGCACGCACCGGGAATAGCGGTAATTCGTGCAGGTTGCGTGTTACCGAACACGACGTGGAAAACGTTCGAATGTTGTCATGTAAAGCTGTGTTCGCACTTGTTGCGCGAATCGAATCCGTGACTGTTCGGATTTCCCGATACGTCTGCTCACGGGTGGAACGTTATTGATTCATCGATAAGAATACTGAACGGATTTGATACAACCGGGAACCTAAGTACACCTACATGCAATTGAGAGTGTGCCTTATTTCGTAATACGTTCACACTTTCCACGTGAAACCGAGGCGGAATAGAAGACAATCCTAAATTGTTTAAATATAAAAGCTCTTTCTTTTTCTCTAGATTCCAAGTACGAATAATGCAAATGTTTCTTCGATCAAAATTGCTCCGTGTTGCTGGTAATATCAATGAAAAAACTTCTGAGCGCAAAGAGTGAAAATTCTCCTTTGTTTCACTCGTTCTAGCGATTCTTCTATCTCGCATAAACTCGCCGTGTACAATGAACAAATATTAATAAATATCAAGTGGAAAGTCGTGCGTGATCTGCCATAGAACAAGGTGTTCGTGTGGGTCTCGCGGGGGCCCGGTTCCAGCCACGACCCAAATGGCACGCTCGAACTCGAGGAAATTCGAGCCCTCAAAGGCCGGCCAACTTCGTCTTTTTACCGGCCACACGACTCCAATCGCCTTATGGCGAAACACTGGCCAGTGGTGCTCAATTGCGGACAAAAGTGGTGTCCCGTAATCCCGTTGCTCCGAATCGGGAAGATTCGCGAGGCGTGTCACCGCGTTCTGACGAATTCGCGTGAAAGATCCCTATCCGACAAGACGATCGACGGAATCAAGATCCTGATGGCAAGGTCGCCCATTCTCGGCCGCTAATTACAGCGAGCGGCGCGACGCTTCGACGAAAGTTACGTTGTCCCCTTCGACATTCCTGACAAGCGGAAACGCGGGTACTTTTTGCGAGGGGAATTCTTCGGTGTTCCTGGAAACGCCCGCGGAATGGTGTTAAAGGACGAACGGACCTCGGGAAATGTTACGTTTCAGGTGCTGGTTTTTAAGCTCGATTAAAAACACAAAGGTGTCGCCGACAGGGATCGTAAATTATCTGAAAAGAGCGCCGTGTATTGTTCTTTGAGGGACTTCCGGCTTGAGGAACGCGTTAACGTATTGGCATATAAGAGATTTTTTTTCTAAAAATCACTATAAATTTTTGGAATTTACCATACGTGATCTAATTTTCTTACGAGTCGTAACGTTCTAGTTTGAATATTTCAAAACTGAAGATCTTTTAATAATTGTACAGTAAAAAAATAATGAGAAGTAGGTGAAGGCTCGTTTTCAGTGAAATCTAGTGACGCACAAATTATCGCAGTCTTAGTTTAAAAAGAAATAGAAATAAAAGTGTAGTAGATTAATATTTCTAGAAATTGGTTAATTGTTACCCTCCAAAAATTTTGGAGAAAAGAAAAATTATTTTAACGATTTCACTGTACTCATACGCACGACTTCCGGCACAGAGTCCGCGGCGGACTCCGTGAAATTTTCCATTACTCTTTGGGCAAATAATGACTACAACATTAACTGATTACGTGGTTCGCTGGTGCCTCGTCACTTTGCGTCTCTGCGACGGTTATGCTAATCGACGCACATAAATGCACGCGTGACTCTCGAAAACGCGGCCGCCAGGACATAACCTATTGAATCCTAGCAGCATGAAACATTTATGAACCGTCGTGGATCGACAACGAAAAATTATAACGCGAGACATGCTAAGCCTGAAGGATTGTACTCACCGATAAACTGCCGCGCTATCCCGTCGATGCTCCGCAATGTTGTGTATTTGAATTTCTCGTTTCACGTGGACGTGTATCGTGCATCGCATTGAATAATACAACATCGATATCTTTCTGATGCCGGTTCCCGTTTCACTACGGAAAAACTGAATCGCAATGTGAACGTTGTTCTACAAATTCGAGCAAACACAGGTGGTTGCGCACGTTGCGTGAGATTGATGAACATTTTTCAAGGAAAAACCACTTGACTCGCGAGAATCGTCCAATAAGAGGCTCGAATTTGTGCGGACATCTCGCGCAGAATCACTAATTTGAAACTCAACCGTCACTACGGGAGTCAACATTGTTGCTAGGGGTGAGCCATCTAAAGTGTTGGCAGAGATTATACGTCTACAGGAAAGTCCGTGGGATTCTGTAAAAAAATACGATTTTTCGTTTAACTTTCTTATTAAATGTGACTTTTAACTTTAATACTTGAATATATTATAAGGCACGAACGTGGAATAGGTCAGTGTGTAATAAAGCAAGATTATAAAATACATATAAGGGTCTGTTAACAGTACAACAAAAGCATTGGCATATTTACGAGTCGATAGTATAAATCATTGTAATATTCGATTTAACGTTTCGTATGTAATTACTCCTGTCGCCTAAGTCATTTTTAGGTTAAAAGCACTATCTCTTTGAATCATTCCTATAACATTACTTACGATCTATCAAAAACTTTATTCGATTCTAAATTTAACTATTCGTCTAACCGCGAATACATTACGAAATAGGTCGTGTTCACATGATCTTTCTTACTTAATTTGTGCATGAATGAATTTTGTGACTTAGTGTTCAAGACTCTCTCTCTCATAATATAACCCTTAATCGAGGACACGTTACTTTGTTCTAACCTTAATCTTATCTTCTGCAAAATTAGCCAATTTATAGACAAAAGTAGTAGCAAACAGATTAAAAAAAGTTGATATGATTTAGCGTTAATATAAGCTACCATTAACAGAACCTTTCATCGTTATGTTCCTCATTGATCATACGCTTTGTATGTACTTCGATCATTAGGCGCTATTTACATTCAATAGTTGTAGAGACATTTACGAGTCAATGTTTAAAAGCCCGGAGCAAGCACTATTACATAATTTTTTCCTATATGACAAAATTAACACATAATACCATTGATTTACCAGATAATTGTCACCGTTGCAACGGGAGATCTTCATTCCATCGCGAAAAAGAAACAACAATGTCGCCGCGAGTCTATTAGTTCCGAACCCGCAACGTCACGTGACACCGTAGTGGCGCTGCCGATCCTCTTATTTAGCAAGGTGAACGTTCCCTCCGAAATCGCGAAAGGGGCAGATCAACCTCGCGATAGGAGGAGCCGCGTTCCATCGCGAAAAGAAAAGATGCCACGGGTCACGCGAGATCAACGAAGCAGGAAGACGCAAGGTCGGCTGGAACGTGTAAGTCGGAGAAAATAAGTACTTATTCCTCTTTTTTTCGCGGCGAATCGAGGAGCATTGTGCGTGCTCGGCGCCCCGCGGCCATCGTAATGGATTATCGACATTCGATCTCGCATGGCTCGTTCGCGGACAATAACGCCGTCGAGAAAAGGCTCTTCTTTTATCCGATGGAGGGCTCGCGCGTGGAGATAGAGATAGGGATCGAGAGAGGATACATTCTAAGCCGATCCGATACACTTCTGACCTGCGTCAAAGATTGCAGAGTCTGCTGACAATAATTGTTTCACGCGATCGATATATCACCGCGGACCGATATCCATCTGTCTTGTACCCCACCTAGTAGTATCTTATCGATCACCCGATATTCGGGAACATCGATCTCTTCTAAGGGATTTAATGTTAATAAAATCTTACTCGATGGATATAATGGGTTATTATTATTATTTGTAATAATGTGGTACTTTCGACTTACCACTGATTTTCTTTAGTGCAATGTCCGGAGAATGTTCATGACGATTGGAAGGTGTTCAGAAACTATTGAGTTCCTTGGATATCTTAAGGACTCGTGAAGTCTTTGCGAAAGGTTTCCAGGACACGATGAATCCTCGTGAGTCGCGAGGGATTCTTTTGGTTCTTGGATGGCCTCCAAAAAACCTTCAGAAGACCTCAAAGTCCTTCGAAGAATATTCGAAGTCTAACTGTGGCTAAAGAAGCCATTGTGATAGTAGGTCTGAGTTAGGTCAACGTGGGGAGACCAAAATGAGCAATAGGAAGCAGAAGTTGCAGTGATCGGGAGTGGACGTAGCTATCACGATTAACGACTGTCAACAATTGTCAGCGATGGTAAAGTGTGACCAACAGTAGTTAACAATGGTTAGTAATGGTAAACAATGGTCAGTAATGGTCAATAATGGTCATTGATGGTCAACTAATGGTTAGTAATAGTCAACAAGAATTATCAACGGTCAGCAGTGGTCGGCAGTGGTTGGCAGTGGTCAGCAATGGTCAGAAATAATGAAAAATAGTTAAGAATGGTGAAGGATGAACATAAGCTCCAAGTGGGTGGCCTAGAATTGCCCACGATGGGCAAAGGAGTCCTGACAAGTCTCCAAGCTCGCGGCCACCGGACCTGCTTCGAGCTCGAGAGTTCGACGGAGATTAAAAATTGTTGCCTTCATTGCTCTATTTATACACTTCCATGAGAAATCAACGATAACCCTTGCGCACGATCAAATATTTGCGATTTCGATAGAAACTCATATTTATGGAATTCATGAACTCGAGTTTTCAGAGAACTTGTAATCGCATTAACTGAGTACCTAACGGACTTTACTGGCGATTTTCACCATTAAATATTACTTAAAGAAGATCGCATGGTGCAGTTTGTTAACATTCAAAGCTGCAATTTTTATTCTTCGATTCATTTAATCAAACCATTCGCAATGCGCGTAACACTTTTCGTTCGAGAATATTTTTCCACCTTACACTTGCTAATTTCACAGGCATTTCCATTGCAAAACGATTCACGTTAATTATTTGATTCGATTAAACAGTAACTACAACTGGAAACATAAATCGAAGGACTCGGTAACACTAAAGCATAACTTCTGACACTAAAACACGAACGGCAACCTTTCCACATTAATCGAAATATGATCTTTCAAGTGACTTCAATCGGAACTATCAAAAACTACCAAGAAGAATGTATTCCAATAACTTTAAACTAACGAGTTTTTATATTAACTGCCAATTTGTATGTCATGAAAAATACGAAAGTGACATCTTAAAGAGCAAAGTATTCGGACTGACGCACGAGATGGAAGATGTATCTCCCCGAAATACTCGAATCAATTCATGGATCTTTGAGCGAGCCCCTCCATCGACTCTATTACCTGGGCTCATCCGAAAATCCTTGCGATTTTCGAGATCGGAAGAGTGATTTATATGCACGCGCACGTTTACGATCCTATCGAGTTAACTCGAAGGTAACCTATCAAGAGTAAAGGTACCTCGGTCTCTCCGTGAGACCAGCAAGGAAGCCTCGTCATTGGTGGAAAGGGATGCCCAGCGATGTCCCAGGCAGAGGCAGAAAGGCGTTCGCCAGTCTCCTCTCGACGCTCCGAGTCAAAACGTTCCGAGGCACCTCGCCCGCTTCTCAACCGCGCGTTCTGAACGATTGTCAAATTATTCTTTCGTCGATCCATTATCAATTATTTTATTGACCGGTCCCGCGTGTACATCGATGATCATCGTTCCACGCGCCGTCATTTGCTCGCCTGTTTTTAATGATCTCCTTTTATCGCGTTTCTTACCGAAAAATCTCTACAAAAAGAACTAGGCGGAGACTCTTAATCGTTGCCTGTCGATCCGACGGATTTTTCGAAAGGACCATTCGCGAAACTGTAAACAGACCATCGGATTAAACATTAACATCGATTCCATTCCAACACGAGGACACTAATTCGGAAGTTCTGTGAATACTTCCCCGACTCTCGTGCAACGGAACCAGTGACTGTCGATTCCCAGCTCGTTCACGTGACCATCGATCACCGAAGTGTCTAAAAGTTCCTGACCCGGGTCCCACCTCGCTTGAAGACTGGTAACGATCGGGGTGATATTAAAAGCGGCCGCAGGGGATCGTATTACCGTTCCACGGACCGCAGCTACCGAATGTATCACGGCGAAACGCTCGATTCGTGACACGAATAAGGTATTTAAATGTTTACTTCAACGTCGTCGGCGGCGGTTCGCGCGTTGTTCTGGCGGTGATCCGCTGGAAACTACGTTTCGGGGCTCGCATTCCGATGCTAAACAGCAAACGGACAAGGAAAAGGGGTCGGAGGGGAGCAAACCGGTAGGGGACTTCGATTCGCCGATTTCGGTCGAAATGAAGAAATAACAGGGGCGTTGGATGAAAATATTTATACAGAAACTGCGTCCGACTCGCGGGATGGTCCTGCTGGATGTCGGATCGCTAAATCGAGTACGACAGTTTTGCCAAGTCGACGAGAGGTTCATTCGAATGAACAAACAGTGGCGAATCGAAGATTGACGGACTAACGTGACGGGCTTACGTATACAAGCAGGATCCCGGGTTTTTGAGCGTGCTGCTATATATATATTGCTATTTTTAAAAGAACATGTAGAAGGGAATGGAAGGACTTACGTGGAAGGGAAATGGTGCAAGGGTTGTTTTGTTCTAGCGATTCAGATAAAGCAAACTTATATACTAATTAATGTTAATAACTTAACATTAATTTGAACTTACGTATGGTCTCAATTAATGTTAACAGCTTACCATTATTTTGTGCCAACTTATCTCGGTCTTAATTAACGGTAATAACTTAACATTATTTTATGCTAACTTATCTTGGTCCCAATGAATGTTAATAATTTAAGATTACCTTGAGTTAACCTATCTTAGTTGTAATTAATGTTAATAACTTACCATTATTTTGTGCCAACTCATCCTGTTCTTAATTAACGTCAATAACTTAACATTACCTTGAACTTATTGTTAATAACTGAACATTATTTTGTGCCAACTTATCTTGGTCTCAATTAATGTTAACAACTTACCATTATTTTGCGCCAACGTATCTTGATCTCAATTAATAATAATAACTTGACATTACCTTGAGCTAACCTATCTTAGTCTCAATTAATGTTACTACCTTAATATTATTTTGAGCCAACTTATCTATCGTCTTACTAATAGCAATGCACTGACGTTTGCCTATACCACCGAACAACAATCCTTCGACCGATTCTCGAATCGCGTTGGCTCCGCTCGATTCCCGTGACCACTCATCCCCGTGAATCGCAAAAATTCCGATCGGACGAGTCGTGAGCAGCGAATTAGAATGTCGGAAGCTCGCAGGCCGTTTCGCGCGATCCGGTGAATCATTGCCGATCGGCGGATCTGAGTCACGAATTAATCGCGTCATTGGGCCGACTAAAATTCCAATCGAAAGGAAAATCGCTCTCAGGTTCGACCGGTGCCATCGACCGATTAGCGGCCACGAAATTACCAATCCGGTCTTCCAAGACAGGCGTGCACACGCATGCGACTCGGGAACGCTTTCAGTTAGCAGGATGTGGGACATTAGAGGAACGAGTACGTGCGCACTGTGCAGCTTCGCGGTGTAAAAAAAGAATCTCCCCCGGATCGGGCGCCGTTTCCCGTCTCCAGATCGTCGAAAAAGCTCCCGGCTCCGGGACGCGAGAATGCCTGACTTAGGATCACCGGTTTTTGTGCTTCCGGACATCCTCGTCGCGATCGCTGTTAACCGGGGGAAGCTAGAAACGTGTGCTACTGGGTGGACGATCGAGACCTTGCGAATTAATGGGAGTTTTTTCAACGGGGACAAGATTAATAAAATTATTAGTAGATAGCGGATCTCAACAATCATGCCTCGCAGTGTGATGAAACAGGAGCGAAGTAAACGTTTGTTTCTTCCTTTATGAACTTAGGTAGATTGACGATGAGACACTATTTTTAGATAGATCAGTGCTTCTTCGAATCAAATTTTTCTTCTATTCCGCAAAATTGGACAAGAAGATAAATGTTTCATATTTTTATTGTTTCAAATCATGTTCGATCAACAATCATGTTCGTGGATCATTTTTATACCAAATACTTATCAAATATTTCGCACGAGATATAGACAGATAATTATAATTACAGATGCATTCGTACCATTTTTACACGCAACCCCAATCACTATCATCTACAACTCCGTTTCCTCCGGACTACAATCTTCAGACACAATCATC